AAAAATCTTGTCGTCCCAAATTCTACTAGCCATAGCCGCAGGATACGAAGCTATCTTGCTAAGCAGATGTGAGTTTCGAAATCAGCAGGTCGCATAACCTCTACGAGCAAGTTTTCCGATATGTTCGGGTTATTCCATTTTTTCTCGTTTTACGCTCCGGAGGCTCGCCGATGGATTTTGGTCAAAATGTTGATGCCCTTGAATTGTAAGGAAACTTCGCTTACAGAGTTTTTCGGACACGCTCTTTACGAAAATCGTCGTCTTCGAGAAATGTAGGGTCTTTTTGGAGAGATACGGTGAAGTAACTGTAACTGCATCACGAAACTGCGTAACTTTGGCCGCACTTCTCGCGTATCTGTCAGAAACCTTGCCTGCTTGCTTTTCTCAGTCAAAGTTACTAGGAATTGTGCTATCGAATGGTGCATTACTCAGGCTCCAGTCTATGAAATTCGCCGAGTTACGAGCCTACGAAGACACGTTCTCATGAATTTTGCCCAAACGTGAAGATCGCATATCTCGTCGAAATTCCTCCGTGAGCGCTTGTATGACGCTCGTTGCAGATATTATGTTCGCTTCGTCGAACGACTCCCACTGTACTGAATATGGTGCTTGCATCTGCTTCAGCTGCTCAATTGAATATCAAAGCTATTTCGTGGCTAGAGCTCAAAGCATCAAATCTATCACAACAGCATCCATTAAAAATGTGGAAGGATTTGATCAGCACGTTGCACAAGCGCTCACGGAGAAATTTCGACGAGATATGCGATCTTTAGATTTTGGGCAAAATTCATGAGAACGTGTTTTCGTAGGCTCGTAACTCGGCGAATCTCACAGACTGGAGCCTGAGTAAGGCACCATTCGATAGCACAATTCCTAGTAACTTTGACTGAGAAAAGCAAGCAGGCAAGGTTTCTGACAGATACGCGAGAAGTGCGGCCAATTTTACGCACTTTCGTGATGCAGTTACAGTTACTTCACCGTATCTCTCCAAAAAGACCCTACTTTTCTCGAAGACGACGATTTTCGTAAAGAGCGTATTCGAAAAACTCTGTAAGCGAAGTTTCCTTACAATTCAAGAGCATCAACATTTTGACCAAAATCCATCGGCGAGCTTCCATCCGGAGCGTAAAACGAGAAAAAATGGAATAACCCGAACATATCGGAAAACTTGCTCGTAGAGGTTATGCGACCTGCTGATTTCGAAACTCACATCTGCTTAGCAAGATAGCTTCGTATCCTGCGGCTATGGCTAGTAGAATTTGGGACGACAAGATTTTTCCACGATTCACCAGCCGTATTATTTCCTTTGAAAAGGAACCTGCAGCTACTATTTAGCACATCATAATCTATAAAAGAAATGCTATCGAAAGATCCTTGCTGGAATGTACTCGGAACAATGCTCGCTGCTTTACACCTTCGCGAAAAGACGTCCTCAGAAAGATTCAAGAATACTAAAATCGAAATATCAAGGACATGCGGTATATAATAAGATTCGCTTTGATGAGCTGAGCAAGGCACTGTTTTCGGACTCAAAATATACTTATTCCGAAGGAAGTTATGGCGAGTAGAATTTGAAAACGCGTGATTTTTCCAAAATTCACCAACGTTTCTATCTCTTTTGGAAAGAAGTCTGAGCCTATTTTTTTAGCGCACAATAATCTACAGGAGCAGCATTATCGAAAGGTACTTAGCAAAGTCTTCTATGTTGGGCAGGCGTTGCTTCACATATTCGCGAAAAGACCTCCGCAGAACAAATTGAAAAAACTGGAAACACAATATCGAAGACATCGCACCCCACATCCAATAAATCAAAAGATTCTCCGCGCCGAGCTGAATGGTGGCTTTGGATTCAAAATTCGTCCACTCTGAAGCGAGATATGGCCACGCGACGGTGATGTCCATACATGTATTGACATGTATGGACATGTCGCTACAGGTCCATACATGTATGGACATGCCCGTACTACATGTATGGACATGTCCGTACATGTCCATACATGTCCATACATTCACGTCTATTTTTCAAAAAATGTGAGCAGTATTGCACATGTTGATGATCTCATCACACATGCCAGTTCAATACAATGCACCATGGAAAACGGGCATAATTTATACTAAAAGATTCGTTTCATAAAGCTGGAGCCAAATCTGCTTGCAGATTCCAAATAGAATTGTTTTAGAAGAAGTTACAACTGCATCTGGTTTGAAGGCAGTACATCGGCAGAATGAGACCCGTGACAAAACAAGGTCACAGGGAAGGATCCCCCATATGGAACCTACCGGCCAAAGTCCGATCTTTCTCTGCCACTTCTAACCCCCGAAATTTTAAAGCGAAAGCAGCGCTCATCTCCTGTCCTCTCCGAACCCGCCCACCCCATGGACGAGTGACTTCCGCGGTCAAAGCGCCAGCCGCAATGCTATAAGCATGAGGTCCCGCAAGACGGGCTTCGCGTTCACTCGTCCATGGGGTGTGCGGGTTCGGAGAGGACTAGAGAGATGAGCGCTGCTTTCGCTTTGAAATTTCGGGGGTTAGAAGTGGCAGAGAAAGATCGAACTTTGGCCCATAGGTTCCCTTATGGGGGCTCCTACCCTGTGACCTTGTTTTGCCACCTCTCATTCTGCCGACCTACTGCCTTTAGAGGCAGTGTCCAGGCTAAACCTAACCCCCTCCGATTAGTGTCAATCCTGAATGTAGGCCTTAGAAAAAGGGCATCTGCTTTGGTCCGGTCTTCTAACGTTGTCTCTGAATGGAGATAAGGGGCCTGGAAGTCCGTGGGTGGACGGAGTCTGATATCAGACTCCGCCCAGCCAGGGATGCCTCTCGACACGTATTAACATGGTAGTGAGCAGAAGCTGCACACTGCTGCAACTTCACCCATGCAGTTGCAGCTCCTCCCCGCTGGCCTGCCAACGGGGACGAGCGATTCAAAACTCTTCCGCGCCTTCAGACAGGGTCCCCAAGAATCGGGTTTTTCGTGAATTTTGGAGAGTTTGAAGTTCGGAACTGGAATCAGGGCCACTGAAAGGCCCCAGAATGACGAAAACATGGGAGGCCAAATTCTGGGTGGACGCTGCCCTAAAGAGTTACTCTCCTTAATTTCTCTAGGGTGTTGAGCATGTCACAATTTCGTTTCATTACTGTCTTTGTCAATCGTTTCATTCGTGTCTTTGTACTGGCGCACTGTGTACAAACAGTGTATCAATAAATAAATAAATAAATAAGTCCCGCAAGTCCCGCAAATCCTGCAAATCCCGCAATTTTGGTCGTATTCCACCGCTACAAGTGTAGGACAACCAGTATATCAGTGACGGACCGAGGGGGGGGGGGGCGCCCCCCCCCCCCCCCGAGAATGGGTCGCGAAATTTTTGAAACCTACCTATTTGGGTTGTAAAAATGTGCAAGCGACTTGATTTATTTTTGTAAATGATTAAAATATTTTTTAAAAATTTTTAAAAATTCAAATTAGCCTTATAAAAAAATTTTCTCGGGGGGGGGGGGGTGGCTAACTCCACGTCCCCTTTTTCCAGATTTTAGGGGTTGGAGACTCGCAAAAATTTTGGGAAGCACCCCAACAATTTTTTCGGAGTGTGTGCTAACGCCACGCACCTTCATCTGAATAGAATTTTTGTCGCCGCCCCCCCCCCGGTCCGAAATCCTGCGAACTCCACTGCAGTATATGTATATGCTTGCACATCACTACCGTCCATCAGCCAATACATCAGATCATCTCAAACTGAGATTTTCTACGAAGTCCGAATCTGCTCATATTCACCAAAGTGATGACTGTCTCGCAATGTGCAGCAGATAATAACTCTAATCTCCAGCGTGTATGACTTTATTTGACCCAAGGAACTGATATGGGACACAATTACACAATATTGTCGTTTTCAGTCAGTAAGAAGTTGAAAGGCTCAAAGCTGACTGTTTACTGAGAATTGGTGTACGGTAAATGTGCGTTGTATTAGGTCGTTCCGAAAGTAATGTCGCTTTTTTCAAACGTATGCCACAATTAGTGGAACAAAGATGTATAAGAGATTCTGGTAGCATTTGATGCAGCATTTCATTCTCTTTTTAATGGTTATGAAGCTGTTGCAATACAGTCAATGAGCTTCCAGATAAAGAGTCGAAATCTGCGACCTATGCTTTTTGAGATGGCCAAGTTCCACAATTTTTCTAAAATTTTATAACAAACCTCAGAAGGAGTCCAAGTAATGGATGGATGGAGCAAACACTATAGGAAACAGTACAACTTTTTTCTACTTTCCAGAGCTCGTCATCATTTTTGTACAGATTTTTTGATGTAACCACCGAATTTTGGCAGGCTCGTCTCAGACACAAGTGCATCAAACGCCAACAAGTCTCCGGATTTTGAAACTTACAAAGATGGATTATGGTTTGGCAACAATTTTACAAACCAAACGAGCATTCACCGCTTCGGTTTAGCCACTTTCGGAAATTTCGGGTACACCTTGGGGTGCCTTGAAAAAGTTAAATCATGATGATTTTATCCCGGAAAACTTGATGAATCGGAAACAAAAAACGAAGGCTAGAAAGAGGAGAAAAAGCTGCATCGAATGGCACCCGAGTCGCTTGCCGGTTGTTGTTCTCTGAGGTTTGACTTGACTAAATATGAAATTTGATGGCATTGAGAAATTGAATGTAGAAACTCTGAGAAGCAAGCTAAGAAAAAGAAAAAATTACTCTGTGTTCTACAGTGTTTGCTCTATCTACCTGCCACTTGTACTTTTTCGGAGATTAGGTACAAAAATTTAGAAAAATAGCCGAATTTGACCATGGCAAAAAGCATGAGTCGCAGATTTTGGTAATTTTTCGAGAGCTCATTAAACATTATGCAGTGAAAATAAAACCATTAGAAAGAGAATGAAATGCTGCATCGAATGCTCCTAAGATCTCGTGAAAATGTTGATTCCACGAATAGTGGCGTTCATTCAAAAAAAGCGACATTACTTTCGGAACGACCTAATATGAATCATGTAACAACTTACATCCTCAAATTAAAAAACATGTTAACATATAAATTTAAAGGACCTAGTGCAAATTATAACACACATGAGTAAACACATCACATATGGAATAACAACTCACCTGTTACTGCATGAAAAGAAAGCAATAAAAACGAAAAAAAGCAACCATCAAATTCGCGTAAAGGAGAGATCAGACATTATCTGCACCAATTTTTCTTTATATTCGGTCACTTCACGTTCAAGTTCGCTCACGATTTTCTTCAACTTTGCATTCTTTTCTTCGAGCTCAGCTTGTTCTTTGAGAAGAATGTGCTTCCTGAGAAGCTCAGAGATCAAAGACCGAGGTAGATTTGCACTAGTACAGGAATACGACTGACCTTTCCTTCTGTTTGTCGCGATAACGAGCCGCTGCCATTTTGTTCTGTTGCCTTCTCTTCGAAATGTGCAGTAACTGTTGTGCTAAACAGTAACGATGTTTATTTATTTATTTATTTATTTATTTTATGCACACGAAGTGCGCTATAGCAAGCAAATGAAGGTTAGAGCATCTAATTCAACGAACTCAATAATGAGGATTATTAACGTCACCGAAAGTGAGACATTGGGTCACTCGAAATATTTATAGTCTCTCTGAGAAAAAAAACAGCTGGAACTGAACTATTGGTACTCCATGGGTTAAACTTGGATGATAACTGCACACCAGTCGACCAAGTGTGCGCTCGGCTTTGTTTTATAATCTCGGAAAAGATCAGTCCTATTATAATTCCTTTGATAGAAGAGTTGCTAACGTCAGAAGAACGATTTTAAATCACAATTTTCACCGCAGTTTGTGACAAAAAAATCTGCTTGATATAAGCGTTTCAGATTACGACTTAATAGCTAGAATAGAGTCGAAAGCAGCAGGAGGAAATAGGAGATTATAAAGTAAAGCTCGAACATCTTAGATTTTGAGACCTAAACTTCCTCGACGTGATGGCTGTTGTTTCAAAGCATACTGTAAAGGAAAACTTCACCTTTCACTAGTAATTACTAATTTATCGTTACTTCAAATATGTTTCTAACCGGTTGATAGGGAAAAAAGGGTATAATCGGAATTTATCATTTTAACGTACCTAAATCTGCTTCATCTAAATTCTTCGTCACTTGCATTACCATATCGACAAAATCATCGAGATCAAGGGACTTTTCCACTCCATCAAGATTTCTAAAAGAACCATCCTTATGTAAATACACATAAATTACTAAAAAATGTCTTGAGTGATATTATTTTTACAAAACAAACTAATTTTTAGAGCATCACTTATAGAGAAGCGCTAAAAACCTTGATAAAAGCACTTCCCTGTTTTTTTTCGATTTCATAAGAGTAATTATTAGGTCATTCCGAAAGTAATTTCGCTTTTTTCAAACGGGCGCCACATCTGATGGAACAAAGATTTCCAAGAGATCTTGAAAGCATTCGATGCAGAATTTCATTCTCTTTCAAACGCTTATGAATTGGTTGCAACACAGTCAATGAACTTTCAAAAAATAGCCAAAATCTGCGACCCATGCTTTTTGAGATGGTCAAGTTTCACGATTTTATGACCTTTCATATCAATTCTCAGGAGAAGTTCAAGTAAGGATTCGATAGAGTAAACCCCATAGAATACAGTACTACTTTTTTGCCTTCCTCGTAGCTCGCCGTAATCTTTTAAAAGATTTTTTAACAGAACCATCGGATTTTGGCAGGCCCACCTCAACCACAATCGCATCAAACATCACAATTTTTCGGAATTTGAGACTACCAAGATGGTACTATGAGTTAGCATTACTTTTACAAAACAAGTGAGGGTTTACAGGTTTGAAATATCAAATTTCGAGTATTTCGAATACAGCCTGGGGCTCGCTAAAAAATGAGTTATGATGATTTTATCCCCGGAAACTAAACGAATCGGAAACAAAAAACACCCATTAGAAAGAAGAAGAAAAGCTGCATCGAATGACACCCAAGCTGCTCAAGGTTTGATGTTCTACGAGGATTTAGTTGTCCAAGTATGGAAATCGGTAGCATCAGTTAAAATTCTGTTAAAAATGTATGACAAGCTATGGAAAAGAGAATAAAGTTGCACTGTACTCTGTGAGGTTTGCTCTATCGAACCATCACTTGAACTTCTTCTGAGGATTGATACGAAAGTTTTGAAAAATTGTGAAACTTGACTATCTCAAAAAGCATAGGTCGCAAATTTTGGTTATTTTCTAAAAGCTCATTGATTGTTTTGCAACAATTTCATAACCATTGAAAAGAGAATAAAATGCTGCATCGAATGCTTCCAAGTTCTCTTAGAAACCTTTGTTCCATCAGATGTGGCGCCCGTTTGAAAAAAGCGAAATTACTTTCGGAATGACCTAATATTTCAATTTTTACATGTATTTTTTATTTTGTATACTTTTCATGTGTATTTTTCATATTCAAAATTAAATGCTCAACAGGAACATCTAAATTTAAATATGATCATTTTTTGATCTTTCATTTTTTTTGAACAAATACCTCAACTGGTCACTGTAACTAAGCTAACTGTACCTAGAGTACAAAAACTTATAAATACTGACTAAAGTACCGTACCTTACAGTTAGCAGCTTACAAAAAGTAGGAGAATGACGTGGTGATTCGTTGAATACATGACCATCGATGATTCTGAAAGGGATTTGTTAAAATATAGGAACCCAAACAAAATTTATATAATTTGCATACATGTTGATAATGAAAAATAAAGGGCTTCCGTGAAATTTTTGGCTGTATTCGGTACAAAAAAGATTCATCTCTTAGTCACTTATCTTTAGTCACCTAGGTGCTCTAAGAGCATCTAATTTAGAGCTTCTAAAACAGTAAACTAATTAAGATAACTGTTAATAGAATGATGCGCTATTCTACTATTATCGCAAAAAAAGCAACTGCACTATTTTCTTTAAAATCCTTCTCAAAGTATAAAAATCTAAAGCTCACCCCTCATCTCGGCAGCTTCTTTTCAGTGGCAGGTCGTAATGATCGGAAAAAAGATCCCTGTGGCGCTTGATAGTCGGTCGAATGATGGCAGTTTTCATATCTAAACTTCCAGAGCAATACAGCGGTCCCGCAGTGCCAAAAGGGATTTTATTTGAGCTGTTTACACAACAGCAACATGGACTATGAGGCTATTACGCAATGTTGCGTTCGGGTTGAGTCATGCTGACGGGGCCCCCCGTCACATGGCCGGTGGGCGATTAGAATGCTGCTGAATCTATCGCTATTTTGGATTACAAACTTTTTAGGAAATAAGCGTGCGTAATAAACAAAAAACCCGTAGATTAAGAACTAAAACCCTTTGTTCGCCTATTTCATCATTCAGCAGCACAGTCAGGCAGATGATGCAATCCTTTGTCATTGCAATGCAAGCGCCTGTTCTCACTTTTAATAAAATTTATATTTGATATATATATATATTGTTTACGTATATAGCATACTTTCAGCAAAGAAAAATTTATTTCACTATGTGAGCAATATTTGGGTATTGTCACTATCATTTGGGAATTCGAAGATTTTGTGTGGAACAGCTTGAGCTGCAAATTCGACGAACATTTTCTTTGATATGAAATTGAATGGACATAAGATATCTTATATTTGTAAGAAATCCATCTCAAACTTTTGCCGTGAAAAATCAATATTTCTGGTCCCTATCTTCCTTTTTCTCTAAAGTATGTTAGCTTGAAAGAAGTAGTAATGTACTCCCCGTTACTTGGCCAAAAAATCCAGAGACTGTTAATCCAGAAACTGAGGCTTCTGCATGGTTATTCAGTCTTTGCGATCAAGAGTTGCATTTATCTAATTTTTGAATTAATTTTTCCGATAGTGCGGAATGGTGGGGGAAAAGTTAAGAACTGCTTTCTATGCAACCCATTCTTTTCATCTAAAAATTTTTAAAGAATTACATGATTCTTCTCTGTATCTGTCTTGTATGCATTTAATGACTAGAAAGTGCAGGCTTTTTGCTCAAGTTCACTAGCGCAGTTTGCATTAACTCAGTCTCTTTTAGCAACTCAAATTAATAGGTTTAAGGTCGGCTTTATTGATAGACTTTTAACCACCCTACATAATTTTCATCTGGAGTGTTATTGTACAGCTCATTGTTGCTTATTTCTAACTCTAGATTAAAGTCCGAAGGTTGAGAGGAAATTTTTTTGTTTTAATATGGTACATAGTCAAGATTCCTTTTTACTCTAATGTGTTAAGGTTTTATCGTTACAGCATAAAACGATTTCGTTAAATCGATTCAATTTTCTTTGCAGACAGGCAAAACAACTTCCCATAAAGTGGCTTCACTGCAGATCAGGTCAATGTCAAATGGGCTGAATCCTGATTGTTTTGGAGGACTAATAAAGGGCGTTCGAAAAACGTTTTTTCGATCTTTTTCATCAAAGCGAAAGGTTTTTTCATACAGTAACTATCCGAGAAGTAAGAGACAAAAAAATTCTGACAAAAGAACAAATTATAGCTTCTTCCGTATGTTTCCTATATGGTAACATCATCTCGCTCGGTAAAGCAGTACTCAGGCAAGCATGAATACGTACTGAACATCTTGAGGCAAATTGCGGAAGTCGGCAATCTTAGGAGTAAGTTAGATAGACAATAAAGCACTTGAATTCATGTCTTTATATACTTCTCGCAATGCAGTGCATTACGGTAAGCAGCCACATCATCTTTTTTCGCTGTTGGGGCTACGGTAATGGCACTGTTCATCTCACTGGGCAACATTGCGCAATTTTTCTACTCTAGCACAAGACCCCATACTGAACTTTGGTGCATTTATTGTGAAAGTAAGTGTTTAAAGTCGTCCGGGCAAATTTTCGTTCCCGGCTTTTACCCTCTTCGCTTCTCGCCATGCTGAATCCATATCTGACTTTCAGCGCTTGAAAATGGCAAAAATGAGCTTTTTTCTCCGTTTCCGCGTTCGCAAATTGCGCTTAAGAAATGGGCGGGGTCCGGAAGACTTCCGAAGCGGCTTTTGGGCTAAGCAGAAGCGCTTCTTCGCTCCAGACTTCATTAATAGACTATAGGGAGGGTCTTCCATTGGAACACTGTAAAATCCCATACCCATGATCTTGAAGGGACCTTCCTTAACTATCGGTATAAATGCGAATATGAGATGGCATTTCTATGGCACATTATCACGGTAGTATTTCATACAACTTTCTCAAAGTAATACTGCATACTTCGATAGTTATGAGGCAATTTTGAAATGATAATCTCTACTGAGTGGCGTCAGCTTATGTGCTGAGAAGAACTCTTTCTTTATATGATTTTCTCCACAAACATATACTTCGTGATTGCTAAATATTGAACCCCTTTTTCTCCCAAAGCTTCAAAGTTGCATGGAGTTTCATTGTGGAAATCATGCCTTCGTGCATCACTACGTCTCGAGTTTGCATTGTCAAAATGTTTTGTTTTGTCAAAACTGCAAACTCGGTCCCATTTCACTCACATTTCAGAACGTGATTGTGTGCTGCGATCAGGGCTCGGCACGAGCTGTCACCAGGGAAATTTCAAGACGAAGTCCCGTTTGATATTGAAAATTTCGTACGAAGTCCCTTTTGACCTGTTTTGAAAACCCGTCATCATTTTTATATTATTAAAAAAAGGAGTAGTGTTTCCATGCATTTCTGATTTCATGAAAGAACTTTTCACAGCTTTCTGAGCTTTTTAAGTGGTCGAATCACATCTTGAGAAGCAGAAAAAGCCGATTTTTCGACTGCGGAGCGGACCGAGTGGTTTTCAAATTGCTATAAAACGCTGAAAAGAGAACATTATGAAACTGTTTCTTCTCCGTATGTAATCTTTTACAGTGTAGATACATTTTATGTAAAAAAGTATGAAAACTTATGTGAGCAAAGTGTCGGTGCCAGCTTAGCTGGCACCCAGCTGGCACGGTGCCAGCTAATTCAGAAAAAAGTTCGGCACAGCTTCCATTCACATAAGTTTTCATACATTTTTGGCCCCTAGTTCCGGTCCACCAACGCGCATGCACACACCAAATTTGGTGTCATACTATTGCGTTTTGGCTGAAAACAACGCCTTTGTTTGTTGATGGACAGCTTGCCAATGGCATGCCGGTGGCATGCCGGCGGCATTTTTGCGGCAGTTCTCCGCCTCGGCCCCTGTATTAGAAACGATATCCCCTTTGCTTTCCGCCCTAAAAACGATATGCAGCTTGACCCGGTGACAGCTGCGCTGAGCCCTGGCTGCGATTCTTAGCTATTTATTTACTGGCTGTTTTTGTTTCTCAAATTTGTGCTGCGGATAAACTACAGCAAAAGCATATTTATAAGTACTACTATGTGTCTACTGCTTGATGATCAAGCTGGGGGTCCGTGAAGTTTTCTGGAAAAAGATCCGAATTCAGTTCGGTTGGAAAGTAGTTTTTGGCTCTAAACTTCACTTGTTTTACGATTGAGGTATGTCTTCGGAAGCCTTTCTTAGAACTTGCTTTGCTCTTTCAAATGGTACCGTAAGTAAGCTAAAAAACAAAAGGTTTGATCAGCCACAAAAGAGACTTTCGGAACAACCTAATACACTTAGCGAGATAGCATGGTTTAGTTGCTACTTCAAACGCTCTAGCAGCTTTTCATCTTATATATAAAGCTGAATGTCTGTTTGTATGTCTGTCTGTATGTATGTCTGTATGTATGTATGTATGTATGTTCCGAATAGAAAATTCCATTTCTGAACCGATCCGGACCAAACTTGGCACACATACACTACGGGCCCCGGCGGGTGTCATAGGCTACTTTTCGTCATCGATCGATATCGATTTTATCGATTTTTATCGATTTTTTTGCTGAGTTCACCTACGGGGCTGGGAGTTGGCACAGGGGGGAAGTGAGCATGGGGATTCCGAATACAATATTAGTTTTCAGAATTATCGATTACTTTTATTGATTTTATCGATTTTTTGTAAATTTTGACATGCGAGGCTGGGATTTTGCACAGGGGGGTAATCGAGCATGCTGATTACGAACACAATATTAGTTTTCAGGATCGTCCATTACTTTTATCGATTTTATCGATTTTTTTGTAAAGTTTGACCTGCGGGGCTGGGAGTTTGCACAGGGGGTAATCGAGCATGGGGATTCCGAATACAATATTGGTTTTCGGGATTATCGATTACTTTTATCGATTTTATCGATTTTTTTGCAAAGTTTGAGCTAGGGGGCTGGGAGTTGGCACAGGGGGGTAATCGAGCATACTGATCATCCCCAAGGGGGGTGATCAGCATGCTCGATTACACCCCTGTGCCAAATTCCAGCCCCCTAGCTCAAATTTTCAAAAAATCGATAAAATCGATAAAAGTAATGGACGATCTTGAAAACTAATATTGTATTCGGAATCCCCATGCTCGATTACCCCCTGTGCGAACTCCTAGCCCTGTAGGTGAACTCTGCAAAAAAAATCGATAAAAATCGGTAAAATCGACATCGATCGATAACGAAAAGTGGACTGTGACACCCGCCGGGGCCCGAAGTGTATGTGTGCCAAGTTTGGTCCGGATACGGCGGAGCCGGGTAAGCCAGCTAGTGTAATATAATTGCTGATTAAAGACTCTGTCACATGTAAGTGAACTAAGTTTCCGCCATAGCTCTGCTTCTTGCCCAAATTTTTGTAGCCGCACTCACCTTTTTGCTTGTGAACAACAGTTGAAAAGTGCTGCGCATAGAGATCGTATCCATTGTTGTGATATAGGGCTCCATGTGCGTAGACATTCTGTAAGAAGCTACAAAATTATGCTGCTTTAACATAAATAGGGCAAAGTATCGGAAATTACCAAGTTTGATGCATTTGACTGATCGCTGAAATGTGAATCGTAGTGGTGATAAATAGGCATGACATAGTGGCAGGGTTCCATTGACGATTGTTGTAGATGGTAGCAACTGTACATAGATGTCTTTACTAGGCTAAGTAAGAAGTAATGAGAATTTCGCATGCTTTATCCAATGTTTTGGCAATTTGGACAGAATAATGACAGACAACTTTGAAAAGCATCTAGCGCAAGCTTTCTTTTTCTCTTTTAGCA